CGAAGCAACGGACACGACGCCTCCATTGCATCCGCTTGTGGGTGCAGCCGAAGGCGTCAGACAGGCGATTGCTCCGAAGTCCACATCACCGTCGTTGGAGAAGCGTCGCGAGCTTCTGGTGACGATGCTGCCAGAGCTGGAGAAGACTCAGGCTGGGAAGCGCAAGAAGATAATGGAGGGTTTGGCGATTATGTTGCCAGCATTCCGGGGCGCGCTCCCTGCCACCTGACAGACTTGAGCCCCGACGCGTACTCCTCTTGACTATTGCACAGTTGGTGGTGCCCAGTACATTGACAAATTGGCGCACGAGGAGCATTCCCATAACTATGCTGTAGGATGTTCGGAGTGCCGATCGCACCGCAGCCACGCAACGGAATAACAAACCCAATGCGCCGACGAGGGCGAGCACATCAGGGATAGATGCCCATGACGGCTCCGGGGCGCTCTACCCGAACAGCGCCGTTGGAGGGCACCGGGACTCCAGTCCTTCCTCGAGACATGGAGGGGGCTCCACTCCGGATGGAAGGCCATCGGAGCGGGCATGGTCGCTGCCACTGCATCGCTTGCGTTGGCGCCGGGCGGCAACGCGCGGCACCTCCGCGCTTGGGGGCCCGAGCAGCAAGCTCGCGTTCCTTTTCAACGCTGGGCACGGGGGGTCTTGATCTGGTCCGCGGCGAATTCCGACCTCGACGAGTGGCCGCCCGCCGCCTCGATCCAGGCAGGACCCATCGCATGCGACCGGCAATTCAGCGCCGCCGGCGGCCTTCCCGAGGCGCAGTCTGGCCGAACGGCGGGGCCAGCTCGGAATGGGGGACCGCGCGCAGGCGGCGTCGGCTCTGATGAATTTCACCCGGTCGCCGCAGGAGCGCATCGACAGCCTTCTCGCCATATTATCCGCAATAGGGCGCGGCGGGCTGGTCATCTCGGATTGGCTACAAAGGATTCAGCTACCTCTTGCAGCGCGCGGCGGGCGCGTCGATCATGCAACTCACCTTGATCTCGCAGCACTGCAACATGGCCCGCCCGACGAACGCGCAGCAGCTGTCACGCATGACAGGGCAGCTGCGACGGTTTGGGCACATGGTCGAGGGTTCGGTGGGCAATCTCGCCTCAGCCGCTCACTCGGCCCAACGCCGCGCGCTCCTCGCGGGCACGCCCGCGCAAGGTCAGATCAGAGCACCAATGGCACTACGGCGAGATTCTGGGATGGCATGGGCCCCGCTGCCCAGGGAGCGGCACTGGGCCCGCCCGCAGCCGCGGCCGCTGCCGACCCTGGCCCGGCGCCCCCAGCGCAGATGACACGCGCGAAAGCAGGCGTCGATTCAGGCGCCGACTCCGACCCCATCGGCTCGCCCGGCGAAGAGACTGCCGCCGATGGCCCCGAGCTGCGCGGCGCCCCCGTGGAAAACGCGGCGCGCGCCTCTACTGCGCAGACGAACGCGCCAAGTCACGATTGCGCCTCTTCGGCCGCAAGCCCGCTCGCCGCGCCGGGGGGGGCCATCGCGCGAAAACGCAAGCGCCGAGGCAATCGCCGCCGCGCCTTCCTGGTCGACACGTCCGAAAACGACGTCCAGAGAGCGTTCGCTGGCCTCGGGAAAGGCACCGGCGATCCGGCAATGGGAGAGGGGGGTTCGCGGCCGGCGGACCGGGCCCAGGCCGCCAAGGCAACCCGCTTGGCCTTGGCGGGGCGCATCTCACATGCCGCGCTTACGACTTCGATGGGGATCCTCGCGCGCAATTGCCCCAGGCGCCGACGGCAAGGGCGCGCCCTCTCCCTCGACGGCCCTGCCTCAGCAGCAGCGCCATTACCAAGGGCACCCCGCCGCTTTCACAGCTGGGGCATCGGGGGGCGCCTGGGCCAGCCGACCAGCAGCGAGCACCAGGCGCATGCGTAGCGTGGATGACAAGGAGCACCTCCCGGCGGACGATTGATTCCAGCGGCGGCAGCGCCGCGGCCAGACATGGCAGCCCACTGCGTCGCCCGACGGCTCGCGGCAATTTGCGGGCCGCAGCTACTGGTCGAGCTGGGCAAGGGCCTCATCTTCTTCGCCCCCCCAACCCCCACGAGGCCGAGCTACGACGACTCCGTCGAGACATGTCTGGCCTCGTGGACCGCGCGCAGCGGGGCTCTGCTCGGCCCGCGGGCCCAGCAGCTACGCTTCCGGCCCGCGTGACAGAATCGCCACTACAACCGACGCCGCCGCGTTGGAAGGCGCGGGCGGCGCATTCCCATTGGGCAAGCTCAGGAACGCGGCTGGGCGGGCGGCGTCAACGCGCGAGTCGCCGCGCCCCCTTCCGATCCCCACCTGCTGACGTGCAGCTTCCGAGCAGAGCTGCCAACAGTTTCATCTTCGGCATCAGATTGCATCAGCGCGCCGCGCGGATGAAGATCCACGCAGCCCGCAATCCGCGCCGGCTGCAGCGTCGCCGCCAGTGCCCGGGATCCCCGAGATCTGGCTCCATACAATTAGGACGCCCCCATCGACGTGAGCCAGCCATCGGGGAAAGCGGCCCATGTGGTTCGCTGGCCACGAGATGTGGATGTCGAGCGGCGGCCGATCCGAATGCGGCGGCGCACTCAACTCTCGCCCGCACTCAACGACGACACCTCGACGATCTCCACAGCGCGCAGCCTGCACTAGAGTTCTTACGACAACAGGCAGAGCAGCGATGTCAGCCCGCACAGAACTGGACAGAAAGCCCTGTCAATCCACCTCCTGCGTCGTCTGCCGCGCCCACTGCATCTGCCGCAGCTGCTGCGTTCAACGGCGACGACGGGGAGCGCCCTATTTGTCTCAGGGCCTTCGTACGCGGAGAAGTAGTACGCGTGCGATGCCGCTGGCCCAGCCGACGTCATCGCCGACTTCAGCTTCATCGGTGCATATCGCGCTTCCGCGGGCCCGACGCCTGTTGCGCCGGCCCGCGCGGCAGACCCTATGCGACGAGCCCGGCGCCCATGGCGCCAGCCCGCGCGGCATCAAACGACGATGAGCTTGAGGAGACCGCCGCAGCAGGACCTCACGCAGTCTCCTCGGCCAGAACCAACCTTCCGAACACTGCGACAAGACCTTGCGCAGTCACCAGGCAGCGCTTCCAGTTTCATGTCCGCTGCGGGCGTGGCAGCACCATGCGACGTCTACTTAGACCTACGTATGCCGCCATGCCGACGTGCGTGCCCGTCGCCAGGTACAGGCACGAGTTCGTCCACCGACTCACCGTGCGACCTGGCCAGCACCGACCTCCCGGGCGGCCGGTTCGGCGTCGTCGTCGACGCGGGCTCTTGGGCCAACTTCTGGGGACTACGCTTTGCCGTGAACCTGGTCGACAAGGCAGGTAAGGCCCAGAAAACGCGAAGCTGGTGCCCACTGAGGAGAAGCTGTCGTCGACATCGCACTCTACGTGTCAGGGGTTGGCAATGTTTCACAGGTTGCGCACTGAGAGGTGCACTGCCCCATCGCAGTGACCACGCGCGACGGCGCGACAACACTGCACAGCATGCGCGCCCTGGCCGTGGAGGGCGCAGGCTTCGATCTTCCTGCCCTTCTGGGCTTTCTATCCACGCCGTCCAACAATGGGGCGGTGAAGACAGGCGTAAGACACAAACGACTAATAGGTTCCCAGGCCCCGGCGGCTACGAAATCAATTGGACCCCGGTCTCTTTCCTCCCGCTCTCGCCTTGTTTTGTCTTCTCTCCTCTTCCCCCTCACCCCCCTCCGCCCTCCACGGAGGTCGGGGCGGGTGATGCTACGCAGTGGTATTTTACATGGTGTCGTGCATGATGATTTCTGTCATTCCTGGGCCACGTGCGCTGATGGAACGTAGTTCTCTTGATTATTGCGCGCGCCATCCGCCCGCGGGCCCGCCGCTTTTGCGCGGGCGGCGCCGGCGTCCCGCAAAGCGTACTTGCCTGGCGGTTCGCCCCGTTTTGCCCAGACATTCTCGGCTGCCCCCCCGGCGGGCTCGAGCTGCTCCCCCAATCGTGCAGGCGCAGGTTCTCCTCTCCTGTCTTCGCCTCCTCCTTTCTTGGCTCCTCTCTCCTCCCTCCCGAACTGTGTGTTGAACATTTTTGAGGCCTCAACCTGCCTGTAGCATCGTTCGCTCGCACACTTGGCGTAGCTCCTCTGCCTAGGCATGCGGCTTTGCTCTGGCTCCGCTGCCTTCCGCTCGTGTGGGTCCTCTGCGGGTACCTTCTGGCACTGGCCGTGGAGATCGGTCTACACACGCACGAGTTTCAATCTACATTCCACTGGCAAATGTCAGAGATTGCTGTCCGTAGATGATTGCCTGGAGCGTCTCAAATTTCTTGCGCTCGGCGTGCAGGCTGTGGGGTAATCCGCGGTTGTCGCTTGAGCTCGCCCCTTTCATCCTCCCCCCGTCTTCCTCGTTTCTTCCCTCCTCTCCCCGCCCATCCTTCTGATGTGTTGGACGTTCCCGAAGGGCGGCTAACGCCAAGTTTTTATAGTCCGGCATCGTGCCATTTGCCATGTTCAAACTGATTTGTTATGTTCACCCTTCGCGTGGTGTGGGTGGGTAGTTTTGGTGCCGTTTAACAAAACTTAGAAACAGGACGACCAGGGAAAGATGGGGGTGGAGGGAAAGGAGGAGGCGGTGGTGGAAGAGGAGGAGGAGGGCGAGGTGGCGGAGGAGGAGGAGGAGGAGGAGAACGACGACGACGACGACGACGGCGAGGACGAAGACGAATAATAGGTGGAGGATGAAGAGGGACGAGGAGAGGAGGAGAGAGGACGAGTGGGGCAGGAGGGGTGGAGGTGGCAGACAAGTTCACGAGCAGGCAGATGAGGAGGAGGAGGAGGAGGAGGAGGAGGAGGTGGAGGAAGCAGAGGAGGAGGGGGAGGTCCTCCCCTCCCCCCTCGCCCCCCCCCCCGTGCCTACAGGCGCGGGGCAGCGAGGTTTCCCGCGGCATCGCCGAGAAGCTCGCCGTGCACGCAACCCTGACGTGCGAAACCATGACCGTGGGGCAGAGTCACGAGGGCAAGAAGGCGCCGCCCCCGCGCTCCCTCCTTCTGCCTCCTCCGTCTTCCCTCCTCCACCCGCCGTCCTCCTCCACCCAGGCATCAGCCGGTCAGGGGGGCCTCGGGGGCGCTCCCAGGGAGCGCGGGCCCCCCCGACGGCCGTGCGGCCGCCAGCCGCGTCCCGCGCGACCGTGCGCGCTACGACGGCTCCACTCGACGCAGAGGAACGCTCGCCAGCTTGGCATCGCCGTCTCCGATCACGACGTGCTGCGGCAAGAAGGTTGGTTCGGGTGGTCTCCGCCCGCAGTCTTCTCCTGGACCATCACAAGTCAACTTTCGACATGGTCAAGGCAAACCGAGCATTTCCACTGTCGGCAGCGGGCGTAGGCAATTCCAATCCAGGTTCTTCATCTCAGCATTCTTCTGTTGGGCAACGGCATTGCTTTACGTGTGGCACGGCTAATTGGCAGACGAACAGATGATGCGCTTGATGTTTCCCCCCTCAGAGGCTGGGTGGTCGTCGGCAACAAGACCGCTCTCAGCACTCGGAAGGACGTCGCCGACGCGCAGCTTTCCAGGATCCGCATGGGCCAGGGAATCGTCACCAACACCAGCAGCAGCAGAAGCAGCAACACCAATTTGGGATTTCGGATGAGACAGCTCATGGCCAAGGCCAAGCGCAACCAAAGTTTCCTCCGGGCATTGTTCCCTCGTCCCCGTCGCAAGCCAAGTCACACGAGGCATGCGTCGAACTCCCACAGGATCCGAACGGGGTGGTTGCGTTTCGGTCTCAGCTACGTGTGTACCACTCTCATTGCCTTCCAGACTCCGATCAAATCCACCTGCTGGCAGACAGCAACATAGTGGCCGAATGTGAGGGCAAGTGCTCAGTTGTCTTGCTCATGTTTGTGAGCGCGTACGTGCTGGAGGGGAGAGTTGGAACCCAGCAGCGCTACATGGATCGTGCCAAGAAGAGAGGGCATTCGACGCGGAAGCGGCAGAGACACTCGCACCCTCGGCGCCCGAGGCTGCTGCTTCCCAGGCACGCATGAGCATGCAAAAGAGCATGGAGATCGCCACGGAGCTTCTCGACATCTTCAGGCTGATGCAGCGGCAATGGGCGGACCGTAACGCAGCTGCAGCAACGCAAGCAGCGGCGGAAGGTTGCGGCGGCCTCTGAGGCCAGGGCACCTGCGCGCCGTGCTGGGCCCTTCATGGAAGCCGATCACGGAACGATGCGCCTTTTCCGAGGAGATCCAGGCCGGCAACCAGAACATGGTGGAAGGCCGTTTTTGCCCCATGGCCAGCAGGGTACATCACCAGCGCCAGTTTCTCCCTTGTAGTCTCCTCTTCCAGGGCCAGGAGCCCCAGCTACCGCAACGTCAGCTTCAGCATCATCGGCAGTTTCGCTCATACCACAGGTGACTAGCAGCCTTTAGACGTGCCAAGCCAAATTGACATCGCAGCTTGCTCAGTTTTCCGCTCAGCTCAGCTCTCTGACGGCCCACCTCACGGCGGCAACGGCAACGCCGCCAGCAGCTCCAGCACATGCTTTGCCAGTGTCCATGCAAGTAGCCCCTTCCCAAGTTGCTTGGAATACAGCTACCCGACTGGCAGCAGACGGCACAGGGGTCCTTGCCCAAGACGAAGATGGTCCACATTGCATCGGTCAAGCGGAGCTGGCGGCACTAATTACTATCAGCAAAGCAGAAGCAGCTCGGCGCAACGCCAGCAGCAGCGCGTGAAGGGCATCCAGCAGATCCCAGGTCAGGCTACGCTACCATGGAGAGCGTCGGCATCAGACGAAACCAGATCACGCGGTTCGGCAGCTGCAGCAGCAGGCGAGTTGTCAGTTGCCAGCTCACAAGTGCATCCAGCAGAGTCGGAGGAGCTTTTTCAGGACGCGAAAGAGGCAGCAGCGAGCCCTGCTTGAATGGAAATAGCATGTTCCACCAGAGTACACGTATTCGTGGATGGCTCTGATTGTGTTTCACGGAAATTTGCTCCTCGTGGTTTTCATCTTGGCAAGTCTCTTCATGTCCCCAAAGGGCTGTTTCGTTGGGCCATGGCGGTTCTTGTTGAAGATGTGCATTCCAATCATGCCGACATCGGTTGTTGCGCGCAGGTCTTTGAATCCACCGAAGTTGCCCCAGAGCTCTACCCGTTCCTCCCCGAGCTCTTCGCGGCCCAGTCGGCCCCGCCGTGGTGGCTCCAAGAGGGCATCTCGGAGACGTGGGGTACATGCCTCTATGGGGATACAGTCGGGGCCCTGAAGAAGGAACCCTTTTCGTTGGGGAGGGGCTGGGTGTTCCCTGAGTGTTTCACAGCTTGCCCAAGGTTTTCCTTCGGCTTTCGATCGGACATCGAAGTTTAACTTATGGAAAAAAGGGGCCTCGTTCCTTATTTAGGGTTCCTTAGGTCAACGCCCCGACTGTACTGTGGGGGTTCTCTCAGTCTTAGACGGCGGGGCGACGAGGGGCCCCTTTCTGTCCCAAAGAAGGGTTCTAGATGGGGCATTCCGTCGTGTTCGAGCCCGATCTAGAACGTGCGGAATCGCTCGCGTTGGAGGTCACGTAACGCATCCATGGAATGAGCTTGCCGACGCTGTGCGCGCGTGTTTCAGCGGGACAGGGCGATTTCAGTCCATCTTCCTCAGGATGAAAGGAAGTGGACGCTCAAATCAATGTGTTTGCTCAGGCATAGCTGGACTGCACTCCGTATACGTGCTGCGCTCAATCTGCGTCCGCTCAAGGGGTGGCGCTTCCAGATCCGCAGCCCTCCCTGCTTTCGCCTCTCTCAGTTGGCCCCTCCCTCGAATTCTCCCGAGACGCCCGGGGGCGCGCGCGGGAAACCCCGATTCGATTGCCTGAAAGAGCTCTCGTTGGATTCAGTTTTGCTCCGATCACGAGCTGTATCCAGCCCTGGTAGGATTTCATGAGAGTTGGATCGACACCGAATAGGACTCCATAAGAGCTGGATCCAGCCTCAGTAGGATCCCATCAGAGCTGGATCGAGCCCTTCTAGGATTCGATCAGAGACTATAAGGGCTGAACTCGACCCCAAGAAGGGTTCTATCAGAGTGGGATTGAGCCCTAGCAGGTCCCCATTTGAGTTTGATCGAGTTATGTAGGGAAGGGCGTCTATTACAGCTGGATCCAGCCCCATCAGGATGCCATTAGAGCTGGGGCGGTGGGACTCTTTTAAAACAGGAACGAGCTTTAAGAGGGGCTTGTTGGAGCTGCATCGAGCCTTGGTAAGATTCTATCAGCGCTGGCGGCGGGCGCGGGCGCTTGCGCCAGGCGCCGCCGCCGCTGACGTTGTCGCCGTCGTCGTCGTTGTCCTAGTCGTCGTCGTCGTCGTCGTCGTCGTCGTCGCCGTGGTCGTCGTCCGCGTCGTCGCCCTCCTCTTGGGTCTCCTCCTCCGCCTCCTCCTCCTCGTCGGTTCCGCGCCCCGATGTTCTTCCTTACCCAGCTTCTTCTGCTCGGCAGTGGGGTGGTTTTCGTCTTTGGGCGGGGCGGTGGAAGCCGCGGCGCGGCTACGTGCCAGTCCTGTGGACGAGGGCCAGCGGCAGCGACGGCCACGACGACGGCGACATTGTCGTCGTCCTCGTCGTCGTCGTCTTCTTCGGTCGTCGTCGGCCGTCGTAGGTCGTCGACGGTCGTCGGCGTCGGCGTCGGCGCCGGCGTCCGTCGTCGTCGTCGTCGTCGTCGCTGTCGTCGCCGTCGTCGTCGTCGTCGGTCGTCGTCGGTCGTCGTCGGTCGTCGAGGTCGTCGTCGTCGTCGCCGGTCGTCGTCAGTCGTCGTCGGTCGTCGTCGACCCTCGTCGGTCGTCGTCGTCAACGTTGGCGTCTTCGTCGTTGTCGTCCTTCGCGTTCCGTCAACGTCGTCGCCGTCTGTCGGCGTCGTCGTCTTCGGTCGTCGTCGTCGTCTTCGGTCGTCGTCGGTCGGCGTCGTCGTCGTTTGTCGTCGTCGTCGTCGGTCGTCGTCGGTCGTCGTCGGTCGTCGTCGTCGTCGTCGCCTTCGGTCGTCGTCCGTCGTCGACGGTCGTCGTCGGTCGTCGTCGGTCGTCGTCGGTGCGTCGTCGTCCGTCGTCGTCGTCGTCGCCGTCTGTCGTCGTCGTCGTCGGTGTTCTTCGGTCGTCGTCGCAGTCGTCGTCGTCGTCGTCGTCATCTGTCGTCGTCGTGTTCGGTCGTAGTCGGTCGTCGTCGGTCGTCGTCGTCGTCAGTCGTCGTCGTCGTCGTGGTCGTCGTCGTCTTCGGTCGTCGTCGGTCGTCGTCGCTCGTCGTCGGTCGTCGTCGTCGTCCGTCGTCGTCGGCCGTCGTCGTCGTCGTCGTCGTCGTCGTCGTCCGTCGCCGTCCGTCAACGTCGCTGTCGTCGGCGTCGTCATCGTCGTCGTCGTCGTCGCCGTCGTCGTCGTCGTCGTCGTCGTCGTCGTCGTCGGTGTTCTTCGGTCGTCGTCGCAGTCGTCGTCGTCGTCGTCGTCGTCGTCGTCGTCGTCATCTGTCGTCGTCGTGTTCGGTCGTCGTCGGTCGTCGTCGTCGTCGGTCGTCGTCGTCGTCGTGCTCGTCGTCGTCGTCTTCGGTCGTCGTCGGTCGTCGTCGCTCGTCGTCGGTCGCCGTTGACGTTGTCGCCGTCGTCGTCGTCCGTCGTCGTCGTCCGTCGTCGTCGTCGTCGTCGTCGTCGTCCGTCGCCGTCCGTCAACGTCGCTGTCGTCGGCGTCGTCATCGTCGTCGTCGTCGTCGTCCGTCGTCGTCGTCGTCGTCGTCGGTCGTCTTCGGTCGTCGTCGGTCGTCGTCGGTGCGTCGTCGTCTGTCGTCGTCGTCGTCGTCGGTGTTCTTCGGTCGTCGTCGCAGTCGTCGTCGTCGTCGTCGTCGTCATCTGTGGTCGTCGTCGTGTTCGGCCGTCGTCGGTCGTCGTCGTCGTTCGCCCTCGTCTTCGTCGTCGTCGTCGTCGTCGCCGTCTTTGGTCGTCGTCGTCTTCCGTCGTCTTCGGTTGTCGTCGGTCGTCGTCGGTAATCGCCGTTGGTCG